ACACACACACACACACACACACACACACACACACACACACAGGAACCCCAAAAATAAAACAAAAGGACAGAAAAGTGTGCAAGGTTTCATTTCCCTTTCGATCATTTTGTATTCTCAAGTAACTTAATAGTAATTATATTGAAAATGCTTAGAGATGAATTCCAATGGAACAGGAAAAGTAACGTTTTCATTTCATTACTTATAGATCTCACAGGAGGACTATCAAAACACCCTCTCGGTGCCCAACATAGACTACGATCGTATCAAGGTGGCTTTGAATGTTGACTGGAAACTGACGAGTTGGAGCGACTTGAGAAAACCTCTCTATTCCGGAATCGCTGCAATGCTTACGTTAGAGAGGTGAGTTTGACTTTTGGAGATGATCTGGAGGCCGGCAGACTCAGTCACTTCAATTCTATTACATCACTTGGTGGGTAAATTTGCTGCCTTTTCTGGGTCAGTCAGTTTATCGACTGTTGTGTGCTCTATATCTTTAACTTGAGAACGTGCTGTTTTGGAGTAATCTTTTTAAAGAGGCACAGCTTCGTTATTCCTGTAGATTTTTCATTTCTTTTGTTGTTGTCTAAAACTTAAATGAGGCAAGGGAAAAACATGAATACTTTGGAATAGGTAAATTATGTCTCTGATTTGTGTATGGAGATTCAGAATGTGCAGCAACATTGCCTTTGATCGGACATAATAATATGACTGTGTCTGCTACGTCCTCAAAGAGTTAAACTACTCATTTTTAATTTCTTTGCAAGCAGGAGGGGGGAGGGGAGGGAATAATCGATTTTCTAACATCACATGGAGTTGTCAGTAGAGTATAACATAATATACAGTTCAAATCCACGTTTTTAAGACGTGAAGGTGAGATCGTGAGGGTCAGTTAAAAGTTGACAAAAGTGTACCCACAAAGATCAAGCAGACACCGTTTTTCAGTAGCTGTGATTCTCAAGCTGTTCCCCTTTACACACAAATAATGTGAGTTAACACAAACGTAAAAAAGGTAGGAAGTTTGTCCGAAACCTCAGGTGGAAATGGTCATAAGTCATAACCAAAAAAAAGAAAATATTGCTCTTTAACTCAAACGATCCTTATTCTATGACTATAAAGGGAACATTATGTGCCTGCAGAGTTCTTTCACCGCACGAACTGGTGATAGTGGCTGCAGTTATGGAGATTTGTTGACACCAAAGAGGTTATATTTAGTACTAGACTTCGTTGCAGTGATGTCTCCTACGTAAACGAACCTCAAGGGCAAGACGTGCACAGTTCAACAGACGGGTGAATACTTTTCGACGTGGAGGTGTGTCGGCGGTCTTGGAGGAAATCTACAGGCATGAACTAAAATAGGGAGGCAGGATGGTGTTTAATATACATGTACTAGAGCGCGTGGGGAGCGGGCTGAGGGCTCAGATTGTTCATGTAAACTGGGGGTATGCCGGCCATGCCGATAAGGGTAAGAAGAACCCCATGTCCTCAAACGTGTGACATCACTGCTGCGAGCTCTAGTATTATAAAACCTCTTTACTTGAGACTAGTCTTTCTGAGAATCCTGGTCTGCTCAGCTGGAGAAATTCTGCTGGTACTGCACAACGAGGTCTGTGGTACTGCGCGAAGAGGTCTGTGGTACTGAACAAAGAGGTCTGTGGTACTGAACAAAGAGGTCTGTGGTACTGAACAAAGAGGTCTGTGGTACTGAACAAAGAGGTCTGTGGTACTGAACAAAGAGGTCTGTGGTACTGAACAAAGAGGTCTGTGGTACTGAAAACTGAACAAAGACGTCTGTGGTACTGCACAGTCTGCCCCTGTGTTCTGTGAACGAAGTTGAATGCTTTCAGGGAACCATTGAGGCTGCTTTTGAAACCATTCTTCAGGCCTTCATGACAGCGTTTGCCTTTTCGTAATTGGCCAAACAGTTGTGATTTTTTTTTCTCTTGTTTTTTTTTTTGTTTTTTTGCTATTGTTGCTTTTGTATGTTTTGTTTTGCTGTTTTGTTTTTGTTTTTGTTGTTTTGTGGATTTATTTGTTGTTGGGTTGTTGTTGTGTTTTTTTTCTTGGGGGGGCAGCCCATGTCAAAGAAGATGTATTTTTGCAAGCGTCTTCACAAAAAGCTTCTAAAATACATATACAGATTTCAACATAAGTTAAGGACCGCCTTGACAGACAGACAGCCCTGATTTTTTAAAATTCAGAAAAAAAAGACAGCAAGGAATGTTTCAAATCTTTTTATTCTCAAAATGTTAATGGGTTACCAATGCGTACTGCAAAGACTTCTAAAGGGGCAAAACCACCACGTGCAGGACGGAAGTTCTCTGGAATTTTAGCCAGATTTGCTGTTTTTTATCGACTTGTGTGCATTCTTCATTTAAAATTTCTGGTGCACGTCATAAATGGACGTACGGACTCGAACTGTGCTCGTTTTGGTGGCAATGTAAACGGCCGTTTGTGCAAAATCCAGTATCACATCACCATGCCACCGAGACTAAACTTGAGAGGCTTTGATCGTGCTAGAGCTATGGCATGGATACAGGATCGAGTTTGAGCCCGAGAAGTTGCTAGAAGGCTTGCAGTGTCACACTCTGCCATTGTCCACTTGAGGCAGCCCCATCAAGTCACTGGATCAGTCCAAGAACGCCCATGTGCAGGTCGACCCAAGAAGGCCACTCAGAGTGTTTGCAAGTGGTCCTTAATTTATGTTGAAATCTGGAAAAAAATTAATTAAAATTGCATCTATCTTCATCGAGACACTTCGAGTAAAAAGCTGGATTATGTTACTACTTAATATGTGTGTATTTTAAAAAAAATTTTTAACACATTTTTAATATTTAAAAAAGATGCATGTATACAATTGGCAATTTGAAAGACATCCTTATTTTACTTGATGGACGGCAATTGTATTTAATCTCTTCTGTTCCACTGGGTTGGTCCAGGCAGATATTAGCAGAGCAGCACGACTCCAAAATGATCTAAATCGGATCGATGAAGGTGTAATGTATTTAAGAGTACCAAAGTACAGTCATTATCCCTTGTATGTTCTTCTAGACTGTCCCCCATACCACGTGATCTTCAGAGACAAGCTGAGTTCTACCAGACCAAGCTGTCAGGGCAAGCTTCTGTCTTTTTGGCACAGTTGGCTGGATATGATTCAGGTAAGCTATAACATGGGTACATGTGTGAGCACTAAATGTGTGTCTGCGTGTGTGTGTGTGTGTGTGTGTGTGTGTATGTGTGCGTGTGTGTGTGAGTGTGTGTGTGTGTGTGTGTGTGTGTGT